ATTGTTCAAAAAACGGTTTTCTTGATGAACACACTTTTTCACCATACAGTTTTTTAATCTGAACAAATCTAGTCCGGCGAACACTCCTACTGTTACGAGAAACCACTGAGTCTTATATTTCACAAAAATTTCACGAATTAAATTACTTTTAATGCGAAAAATGTGGGTCTGGGCCCATAACCTAATAAAACCAGTGAGTAGCTTTTGACAGACTAACTGACATTTATTACAAACCGATCCAATCATTAGAGGAGTGAGTTACAAACAAAAAACCAATAGATGGCGCTACATACCATCTTGCAATATTATTTTAATACAATACAATAATAATCTCCAGCCACCGTAAGCGTGGGCTTGCGGACGGCGACCATGGGTGACGCCTCAAAGAGCCATCAGACCACCACGGATGGGTTGGGCCCCCAATAGGGCTGATGCCGATTCAGAGCAGCGGAGAACTTCCATACAAAATTCCATACAAAATTCCATACAAAATTATTCATTAAAACCTTAATAGGTATAAATTAACAATTTTGTGGACATTAAGTTATATCATTATGATATGAGCTTATGGCACCGACTTCTAACCTATCAGTGGGTGGGTAACCTATCAGTACTAATAATAGTTATTTTTTGCTTTTTAGTATTGACTTTTTGTTTGTTATTAGTTTTTGGTTTTTGAAGTCGGTTTTTTAAACGCAGTTTTTATTTTATTATTTTACCATTTTCAGTGTAAAGCTACATATACCCGTTTTGTTACTTATAATATACATAGGTGCAAAGTCCTCATCAATACAAATTAATCAAGCCCAAACTAAAGGTAGTTACTGTATACCGTTGAGGAGTTCCCTTAACAATTACACTTCTTCATCATCAGACCCTTAATGACAGCCCCACTCTATCTAGGTGTAAAGTCATCATCAATACAAATTAATCAAGCCCAAACTCAAGGTAGTTACTGTATACCGTTGAGGAGTTCCCTTAGCAATTACACTTCTTCATCATCAGACCCTTAATGACAGCCCCACTCTATCTAGGTGTAAAGTCATCATCAATACAAATTAATCAAGCCCAAACACAAGGTAGTTAATATAAACCACTGAGGAGTTCCCTCGACTGTCTGTCGACTCCATCATCAGATCGACTCCAGACCCTTATTAAATTGTAGTGTTTAAAATTCGTAATTGAAAAACATAATAGACGCATTACTCCCCCATAGAATTTTCGAAAGTTCCCCTCGGTTTCCCTAGGATCCCATCATCAGATCCTGACTTCATGGAAATGGGACCATCTCGGGAGTATACCCTTTCAAACGAAACAAAAATTTTCGAAATTGGTCCACAAACGGCGGAGTACTGCGCGAACAAACAAAAAAAAAAAAGAAAAAAAAAGCATATATACGGTGGAATTGAGAACCTCCTCCTTTTTTTGAAGTCGGTTAAAAAAAACAATCAGCCGAACATAGTACCTCCTCCTTTTTTTGAAGTCGGTAAAAATAAAAAAATACGTGTTTAGTATTGTTTCATTACTTTGATTTTTAATTTTCATACCTCTTTGTGGGTTCCACAAAGCGAAGAATTGTTCTATGCGATCGCGCCCACAACACGTCAGACAAAAGCCGTCCGCCCAGCCTCTGCGCTAACTACTCAAAAACTATGACGCCGTGTTTGGACAGTCGCTTCCTAGTATTTAAAAAGTATCTTTTTATATCTAGATTATCAACCGGAATCCATTCACTTGTGGACTAAGGTCATCCTCTTAGTGGGTGCAGATGCAGATATTTTATAAAATAAAATAACATCCTCATCCATTCGCTCGGACTGCTTTATTGGCAAAGTGTTATAGTGTTTATAAAAAAAATCTCAGTAGTAGCACGGAGTCTGGAATTGTGCCCGGTATATGGCATAGGCTCTCCCTCTATAACATGGGACTCATGACATGAATGTGGGTGTTACATTGTACAGTGTCATTAAGTGTGCACCTCTGCCTACCCCTTCGGGGCTAAATACGCGTGATGTTGTTATGTAGGGTATAAAATAAGACGAGTTATTTAAGTTACTGCATGGTTTGCCCAGTGGTTAGGCGACCGGTCTGTGTTCACAAGCAGTTTATAACATAACTGGTAAAAATGAATTATGTTTACGATTTAATCATGTTAATGATTAACGAGGTAACCCGACTGTTTTCGAGCCACGCTAGGGGCTTATAGTAATTTATTAATTTTTATTTTTTTATTCATTTATTTATTCATTTACATTAGAGCAACGAAGGCCCATATTAATACAATAATACTATAATATTTAGTATAGTAATTAGTAGCATTACGTGACACACGATACAATGAGCGTCCTAAACAAAAATAACTGGTAAAAAGGAATAGTTCTCACATCGTATTTACTGCCTACCTCTTCCTAGATTAACAGGTGGGCGTATTATGTTATAAAAATACAAAAAAAATAAAAAATATCCACTGTTTTGATAGAATAGGAGGCAAATGAGCAGACGGATCACTTGATGGTAAGCGATCAGCGCCGCCCATGGACACCCGCAACACCAGAGGAGTCACATGCGCGATGCCGGGATTGTAAAAAGAAATACGCTCTTTCTTGAAGGTGACAGATCATTCCACAGTTTTACTGTGCGAGGCAGAAAGCTACGTGAGAAGCGCACCGTTGTGGCCTGCCAACTGTATAACATAACATAACATAACATCACGCGTTTTTTATCCCCGAAGGGGTAGGCAGAGGTGCACATTTCGGCACTTAATGCCACTGTACAATGTAACACCCATTATTCACTATTTATGTTATGAGTCCCATGTAATAGGGGGTGAGCCTATTGCCATATACCGGGCACAATTCCGTGCTACTACTGAGAATTTTTTAAAAACCCAGTAATACTTTGCCCGACCCGGGAATCGAACCCGAGACCCCTTGCCCGGCAGTCGCACTTGCGACCATTTGGCCAACGAGGCAGCCAACTATTGTATACATACTTATTATTATATATATGTATATAACCATCTATTGATGCACTATTAAATTAGCTATCAAAAAGACCTTGCATTTAATAACAGTGTATTATTAATTATTAAATAAATTAATTCAAAATAATAATACCTACCGGTGTAGGTACACAAATGTGACGGGTCAGATAGTTCAGTCTGTCTTGATAATATTATTCCGATTATTAATCTTTATAACACTAATTATATCTAGCACGATGCTTAGTCATGCAACGATAAAGTTTAGTTGTGTTTATTTATAAACATAACATCACGCCTTTTATCCCCGAATTGGTAGGCAGAGGTGCACATTATGCCACTGTATAATGTAACACCCACTTTTCACTATTTGTTATGAGTCCCATGTAATATGGGGTGGGCCTATTGCCATATACCGGGCACCATTCCAGACTCCGTGCTACTACTGAGATTTATTGAAAAAACCCAGTAATACTTTGCCCGACCCGGGATTCGAACCCGACACCCCTTGCCCGGCAGTCGCACTTGCAACCACTCGGCCAACGAGGCAGACTTTCTTCACATTTACTTATATTATTATCTGTGATATATAAGAAAGAAAGAAAGAAAGAAAAACCATTTATTTTTGCGCAAAACACACATAACATAACCAAAAATAAAATTAAATAAAATAAAAGCTAAAAATATAAAATGAAGTGAAGTCTTGTCCATGGTCCACAGACTTATTCTTTACTGAAATTATAGAATACTTAATATCTAACATTATCTGTGGACCATAGACAAGAAACACCCTACTTAAGTACTTACTTCATGCATGAGTATATTATTATATAAAAGTTTAATTATATAAAACAAAACGCATCAATTATAGGTACTTGATGCTATCCTTGCCCCAATATTGTGCGTCATGTATGCGTGCGTATATGTTGATAGACTTGATATTTGCGGACGAGAAGGCAGTGTTGCATGCATTCTGTAAATTCATTTCTATATGAGAATAAAAACCAAATATTTATCCTGTTTTTCAAAACACATTATTAGGTTTTTTAAGTATTTCGACTGTCTTAGTACCTATGGTAACGCCCACGCCTAGTGATTCTATTTCTATAATTATAATGTACTAGCTTTTACCCGCGGCTTCGCTCGCGTCACAAAAGGATAAAAAGTAGCCTATGTGACATATACCAATACACACAGCGCCATCTATACCAATAATTTCGTTTTCCCTCGAGAATATCAAATTTTTCCGGGATAAAAAGTACCCTATTATTTAATCCAGACTTCTAACTTCACATCTGCAAAAATTCAAAGCAATCGGTTTAGTAGTTACGGCGTCAAAGTGGAACAAACAAACAAACAAACTCACTTTTCGATTTATAATATTAGTAAGGATTTTTTTTGCTTAATCCGAGAATCTTGAGTATTTAATACTAAAAACTCCTTGCTCAGTAGTCGATTTTTTTTATCAGAAGCCATATATTTTTTTAATTGTGTTTCCCGTGAACTCTTATTACAATATCGGAAAACGTATGCTTAATTAGCACAATGTACGATGCCAAGTGATACCGGTCACTTTTCCTATAGAAGTGTCTTTTGTTATTATTTATTACTTTCAGTGTGTTGGTCGCATGGCCGTAAGTATGACCGTGGAGCAAGGAGTTTTTAGCTCAATTACCGAGCGAAATTTTAGTGATTATTTACGATTTTTCAATAATATCGCAGTAACAGAACGAGGCGTCTAGACAAAGAAACAAACTTGGTTTATGACAATATGATAGGAGCCTATTTAAGTATTTACATGGGACTAAAAAATTACTGGTGAAGATTGCAGTTTTGGAAAAAAAACAACAAAAAAAACACGCACAAAATATATAAATATTGTTTTTAATCATCAAAAAGCTCTTCTTAACAAAATTAGAATGCACCCGTACCTATTACACAATTATTATTATAATATAACACAAAAATAAATTATTAAACAAAATAAAAAAATTGTCCTATTATTTCATTTTTAAATGAATTATTTCATTTTCTTTTCTATTTTAGCCTTTTTCTTTTCTTGTTTTTTCTTTGAGCTGTGTATCATTTTAGTTAAAGGCCATTGGACGTAATAAAATGTATAGAACATAATTCCCATAAGAGCTAAAGCTATGAAAAAGTAGATTGTGCCAAAGAGCTTCCTAAAGATAGGGTACAGCCATACCCCTCTTTCAATGTAAGTGAAGTACATTCTGAAACAAATAATAGTTATATTAGATCATTATTACATTCATAGTGTAGTGGCTGGGCAAACATCTGCTGTATCGTGTATTCAATTCCCAATTGGAACAATTTTTTTGTGTTTTTATAATAACTATCGTGAGACATAATAAATTAACTAAAAATCGCGGGTCTGTCTTAGAAGGCTGCGCGACACCGCCGCGACCGCGCACGCTACTCATGTGGAAGAACCCCTCTGTGGTTCGAAACTAGTAGAGCTTTTGTCAGTGTATTCACGTGAGTAACCCGCGAGTTTTAGTTAACTTTTTTTGTGTCTTTGTAAACGCGACGACACGTGATAAAATTATAGCAAAAAATAAAAATAAAGTTTAGTTAGGGTTTGATTCCCAATTCGAGCAATAATCAAAAATATCATACATCTGTCATGATAAGTGGAATATGTAATTTGGCTGACCTGGGAATCGAAACCAAACCCCTTTAGCGCAGATTTTTCAATTTACAGTTCATTCTTAAATGCAGAATAAAATTGACAGTTTGTTGACAGTTTTAGCATGGTTTTAACTGAAGAATTGTCAAATTTACTCTTCTAATTTTATCTGATGTTAAAAACATCAGCCCTTACTTACTCGAAGACTTTTTAAGACTTAAAAAAAGACTATATACTTACACGCTAACATAAACACATAGGTGCAAAGTTAACTGCATGACATTCCTAGCGTGAGTCTCAGGTTCCTGTCTCGGTCTGAACAGAACTTCCCAAAGGACAACAGGCACTATCATTGTATGAATCACATGGTTCGAAATGGGCGGGATCACCTCGTCCAAGAATTTTGGAAATATTAGGGTTCTATCGTAGTTGTATAAACCCCAGAATACTGTGAAGACAACCTGGAAAAAATAAAGGAAATTGTACAGGAAAGTGTCGGAGAGCCATGCTTCGGCACAAATGGGCCGGTTCGACCGGAGTGATACCACGGCCTCACAATAAACCAACGTGAAACAACGCTGGCGTTGTGTTTCGTCGTACGAATGAGGTTACCCTTCTCCCCAATCTCCCTAATCCCCGTAGTCTCAATCCTCGAATTCCTAATCTGGTAACAGACTTGTAACACTACTGGTGCTTTAGATGTCCATAGGCGGCATCGATTGCTTACCATCAGGTGATCAACAGCTCGTTTACCGGCTTATCCCATAAAACAATATTATTTACGCTTGATTTATGACATAGGTCGCCATTACCGCGCCTCACCTAATTACTTCACTATTTATTGAATGACTTATAAAATACTTTTACGAAGTACGAATTGTGTGATTGGCTGTCATCGAACACGAAGACCTGAAGGTCCAGCTCAGCTGTGTGCTATTGTGGCGACATATGGTACATGCCAACGGATGACGTCACAAAAATCCTACATCGCACATGCGAAGTTTACATGCGAATTAACACGGATAGAAAATGTCAACGAACAACTGGTGGGCAGAAAGCCCGCCAGGCTCGATCACCTCACCTGGTCGGAGGATCCTCCTTTTAAGATCTTAGGGACCTATACTCTCTGTTCCCTAAACTGTATTCATTCCCTATTGGTGACGTACCTATATACTCAGCAGTGGACATTGATGACGGTGAAGATACAAGATATTATATCAATCATATTTGCACCGTTACAGAAATTATACAAAAAAACAAGAAAAGTCGTTTGAAAAAACAGAACAATGTATGCGGTGCAAAACGGCCAGAGGTCAGCTAAAATGCCGTGACCCGAGCGCGATTGCTCGAGTCGCGTAGTCGTCACATACACAATGACACATAGACCAGAAACAACAATTTGTGGATCACACAAAGTGTTGTCCGTGCAGTCAGAGTCAGCTGATTTATATCATCTTCCGAACAAATTCTAAATAAATTCTGCAATGCTTAGATAAACTATAAGTTTTAGGGTGCTAGGTTTTTTTTAAGGGGGGAAAATCTAATGCCTGCTCCTGCCTGGGTGAGGCGGGAGTGTCAGACTCTTACTGACTAAAAACCACCCCGTTCCTTCTCCTGCACGTCGAGCCGGAGCCCCGGTAACCGTTAGGTTCTCCGCGAGGGTGCTAGATTAGACTATGATTCAGTTATTATAAAACAACTGAACCAGAAACGTCCAACAAAATGAGAAAAAGAATCGAAAACTGACGTTAGGTAAAAATTACGAAAGAAATCATTAAAAAACTCGAAAACTACACAAAATCGTAAAAATATACATGGGGATGATTTGGATACTCCTCGTCATAAAGTACCTATTACAATTTTACGCTTGAACGTGAAGTCCCCGGCCACCCTGTATATTTTAACTCACCATGGAACAAGGCCACACAAGACCAGCGAACAGAATCTCCCTAAAGTCGGTGATAGGAGACGGCAGCTTGTAATCTTTCTTCTTTGCATTCTTCAAGATGAAGTATTCACACGCTAAAGCATACACTGCATATGCTAGCTGCAATATCTGGAATGAATAAAGAGAATATTTATTGCTTTAAGCGTGCCTTTAAAAGCTTTGTTACGTATTTTGAGATTATTTACTACACTCACTGGCTCGTGAGAGCGGTCGCATTTTCGATTATTGAGCAAGAGGTCTCGGATGTATAGTAATTTTCGATTTTCGGTTATCCCTAGAAGTTCAAACCGATATTTATGTCGGTAGCTGATTTGGCAATAAGCTCACTCTCCATTCATCATCAGCTCTAAGCGCTCAGTACTGACCAAAGGCCCCTTTTCACATGGATATGGTTGGGGCAATCACCACGCTTGCTCAATGTGTTCACTCTTTATTATACATAAAGGATTCTTAACTTAAAAGAGGTTTAGTTTCATGTGCACCTCCGCCTATCTCTTTGGAGATAAAAAGACATTACCAGGGCGTCCTACCCTGATAATGATTGTGATATATACTTACAAAAGTCCAAGTAGTAAAGAACCGGTACTCCAAACTCTTGAACTGCAGAACCTCCTTGGAGTTCCCAGCGTTCTTCTTGGAGTACCACGCCATGTAGACTATATTGGAGACGTGCATCAGTATCGTGGCTGAATAGCCCAGGATACGTAAGTTGGCTAACCGAGACATTGTTCTGAAAAATGAAGAAGAGGAAATTTTTAAAAAGAGCTCATCAAATTTTTTATAGTATAGGGCGGAAAACGAGCAGTCGAATCACCAGATGGTTAGCAATCAGCACCACCCATGGACACTAGCAATACTAAAGGAGTTATAACTGTAATGCTGGGCATTGGGACGAATGGGTCAGTACGACTCCGGTCGTGCTAACCCATTATTTCAGATGGGGCCCAATAGGGCCGATACCGATTCGGAGTCGCGGAGAACCTAACCGGGTAACCGGGGCTCCGGCTCGACGTGCAGGAGAAGGAACGGGGTGGTTTTTAGTCAGTAAGAGTCGACACGCCCTTCCGCCTCACCCAGGCGGGAGCAGTCATTCGATGATTTTCCCCCATTAAAAAAAAACATTATTTCCGTAGTCGGTTCTTAAAACATCTGCGGAAAAAGACTTCATGGAACGTTGTTAGATCAAATATTAATATCAAATGTTAATACCTAGTGGTCTTTAACGACAACCTTGAGAAGGGTATCTAGGTAAAGTGATAAATTTATGTATTGTTCTCTGAGTGCCAAGCACGGATAACTATCGCATTCGTAACGTAATAGTATCGAGCGCGTTCGACGCTCTGATTGGCCGGCCCAAGTGTACCAACCAATCAGGACGCTTAACTCGCTCGATACTGTTACGATACGAATGCGATAGTTATTCGTGCTTGGCCCTCTGTTCACTCGATCTACTACAACAACTTCGTATTGCTACTGTTAATTATAAAAATCAAAAGCCCAATACCGTTTTTATGGAATAAACCGGTAAACGAGCAGACGGATCACCTAACGTTAAGCAATCACCGTCGCTCATGGACACCTGGAACACCAGAGGCGTTACAAGTGCGTTACCGGCCTTTTGGGCATAAGAAATTTGAGGATTGTTGGGGATTCGGGGATTGAGGAGACTGGGGACGACTGTTAATTGGGCCTCCAGTAACCTCACTCATACGAGGAAACACAACGCAAGAGTTGTTCCACGTCGATTTTCTGTGAGGCCGTGGTATCACTCCGGTCGAGCCGGCCCATTTGTGCCGAAGCATCGGTCTTTAATACATTGACACTTGATTTACTCTACATGTGAAGTTGGTTAAAAAGAAAGGTCTATAAGTTAGATAACACTGCTTATCTACAGGAAATTCAATCATGATATTATCTGTTCTAATGTAACGGACAGATATTTCTAATTTTTTACCCATATACATACATAGTATAGATAACATAGTTACTGATATAAAATTATTATCTGTCATTCATTCATTACATACATACGGGTCATGTATACGGGTCAATGATAAAGCAGTTTAAAATTATTATTATTAATAGTGGTTTAATTCTCTCTAAGTGCAACTACCGAGCGATAAGTATCGCGTTTGATTTTCGAGTCGAAGATTTTTTTTATTATATGGTGCCACTTCATTCTTAGGGGATGCCCGCTTTTTACGATTTAATAAAAAGGAGTTGTTGATAGATGTTTGTTTTTTTTTCATTTCGTAGTGCAAAGTATAAAATATATAACTAATTATATAATTGTGAATGAATTATCGAAAAACCGAATTTTATTCCCAACAAAAGGGTAGACTAATCATTTTTATGTTAGTACCTTAAACGACAAAATAAAAAAACAAGTCTAATATTTTTTCATTAACTGACGGACTAATTAGATTTGTAATTTTCAATACCTTGGCATCACCTCTATTTTTTGAAATTCCTTATTACATTTGTGTGTAGTCTATATATATAAAAGAAAGTCGTGTTAGTTACACTATTTATAACTCAAGAACGCCTCAATCGTTTTAGATGAAAATTGGCAGGGAGGTAGCCTAGAACCAGGAGACGGACATAGGATACTTTTTATCCAATACTTTTTTTTTACTTTATACCGAAAATCACGAACGGGAACGGGGGGAAATGGGATTGCGCGTACGAAGTCGCGGGCAGAAGCTAGTTGATTATAAAAATAAACCTGTCTAAGGCTACTCACATAGTTGCACGACAATCTCAATGCTAAGATCTGCGTAAGTGACTACACCATAAGGTTGCAATTATGGCACTTCAATCACATATCATGCAGAATGATTGCAGGCCCAAAGTTCAATTCTTGAGTCTTCATAACTGGGTAATAGATATTTGGCATGTAAGAATCGTAGTAATTGGCATTCCCTAGTCTCTGCCTACCCCCATGGGAGTCGGAGTCGCGGAGAAACTAACGGGTAACCGGGGCTCCGGCTCGACGTGCAGGAGAAGGAACGGGGTGATTTTTAGTCAGTAAGAGTCTGACACTCCCTCGCGTCTCACCCAGGCGGGAGCAGTCATCCGATGATTTTCCCCGCTTAAAAAAAGCTCCATGGGAGACAGGCGTGAAGTTACGTATGTATGTATGTATAATATTGGTTATAAGTCTATTAATTTTTAAGACTAGATTAAGTTGAGTATTTCTAATTTTTATACTTTGGCTAGTTGACCCGTTAAACTTTGTATCGCCTACAAATATTTTTCTCACCTTTTAAACTTTCCCTTTTTTTGAGGAGGGAAAATTATCCAATGACTTCTCCCGTACAGGTGAGGCACGAGGGAGTGTCAGGTCAGACTCTTACTGACTAAAAACCACCCCGTTCCTACTCCTGCACTTCGAGCCGGTGCCCCGGTAACCCGTTAAGCCCTCCGCGGCTCCGTATCTACATCAGCCCTATTGAGCCCTATCTGTGGTGATCTAATAGCTGCTTGAGGCGCGCGCCGTACCTTCCCTGGACTTCCACAAACATTTCAAGACTAAAACTAGCCAAATCGGTTCAGCCGTTCTCAAGTTTTAGCGAGACTAACGAACAGGAATTCATTTTTATGTATAAAATTATAAGAATGTTTAAATATACATACATATTATAAACCTGATACCCGATATGTACTTTATCCTAGCTGGCAATAGAATCTAACACCCATTCTTAGTCTTCGCATTTACGGCTAATAAACTTATTTGTCCAACTTAGGGATAAAACCTGAAACCCAGTATACGTAACTGTGTGTGTATGTAAAACCTCGACTTGAATACCTATATAACTAGCAACTTCTGCGCGGTTTCACACGGTCTGCTCAGTTCCTATTGGTCGTAGCGTGATGTTTTATAGCCCAAAGCCATCCTCGATAAATGCGCTATCCAACACAAAAATAATTATTTAAATCAGACTTGTAGTTACGGAGATTAGCGCGTTAAAACAAAAAAACAAACTCCTTCGCTTTATAGAGGTATAATAAGTATAAGAGTATAAGATATAAGATAACATGAAACTTCTAATAATAATTCTCAGATAATCTGTAGGTATTATAAATATAATTAATTTCTGTGGTAGGTATACTCGTTTGCCTTAACATAACATAACATCACGCCTTTTATCCCTGAAGGGGTAGGCAGACGTGCACATTACAGCACTTAATGCCACTGTACAATGTAACAGCCACTTTTCACTATTTATGTTAAGAGCCCATGTGCCCCTATGGAATTAAACCGGGGAAAATTCCAGACTCCGTGCTACTACTGGGATTTTAGAAAACAACCCAGTAATACTTTGCCCAACCCGAGAATCCCGAGACCTTTTGCCTGGCAGTCGCACTTGCGACCACTCGGCCAACGAGGCAGACGGCTTTCCCGCGATCCCATAGGGTAAAAATCAGCCTATGTTTTAATCCAGACTATAATCAAGTCCTGACAAACAAACAAACATACTTTTACATTTATAATATTAATAGGATTCTAAGTCCTTAACACAACACAAAAAAATAAACGAAAAGTGAACACTGTACATTGCAATTGCCAAAAATATGGTTTTGAGAATTTTTGTCTGATTTACTTCAAATTTTGCATGAATATCATTACAATATTACTACTAAACAGATCGGGTCAATATAATTATAGGCTAAGGGAGAGGAGCTGTGAATCTCTATTCCACGCGAACGAAGTCGCAGGCACAGCTAGCACTATACTAATCCTAGCTCGAAAATCAGGAATTTCATCGGAATTTTGTATTAGAGGCCCTCTAGAAAGAAAACAATACTGCACATCTGTCTTTTTAGATTTGCAACAGGCTTTCGACAAAGTATGGCACAAGGGCTTATTATGCAAAGTTAAAAAATGCCTGCCACACCCATTTTACGGAATTCTATACTCATACCTGACAGAGAGAACCTTCCAAGTTATAAAAGGCGACTCTGTGTCGACTCTCAACGACATATCGGCGGGAGTTCCACAAGGCTCAGTGCTCGGACCTGTCCTATATAACATCTATGCTTCGGACCTGCCCCAAATGCATAATGTAACAATCGCAACCTATGTAGATAATACTGCAATATTGGCGGTCAATAACAACCTCGTTGTAGCCACACAAAAACTTCAATATAGCCTCGACGCAGTTGATGAATGGTTAAAAAGCGGAGCATCAAATCAAGCTCAACTAAATCAGTCCAAGTCACTTTTACTCTTAGAAGGGAAGAAAGATCGACAGTAAGACTAGATGGTGAAATCCTATCACAAAGCGTTTCGGTCAAATACCTGGGCCTGCATTTAACCTGGAAAAAACGTCTGCAAGCGAAGAGACAGAAACAAAAACTAAAATACAGCAGCCCCTATTGGCTTTTAGGACGTAACTCAAAAGTTTCAGTAAATAAAAAACTTCTCATATACAAAACCATCTTAAAGCCTATCTGGACCTATGGTACACACCACCACAGCCCCACAGTTGGTGTAAGGTGTAGCCTGCAAATCGAACATCAACATTATACAAAGACACCATACTAAGGTGAGTCTACTGCCATATACCGCGCACAATTGCAGACTCTGTGCTACTACTGAGAATTAAAATAAAACAGTAATACTTTGCCCAACCCGGGAATTGAACCCGACACCCCTAGTCCAGCAGTCGCACTTACGACCAACCTTATCTAATACATATATTTTCTTTTAAATTTAATACATC